TTGGTTCAGCTTCTATATATAACATATCGGTTTAACATTTTATATATATAACTTTTAGAATTAAATTTCTTTTATAAAAAATCTTTTGGTTTTTCTTGATTTTTGGAAGGATAATTATCATGTAGTGAATATAGAGTTTCTGGAAACAGTTATTTAATTCAAATAATAACTCTACCTGTCACTAACTAGACAATCCTTGACAAATGCCTAAAGCATTTAAGAATAATAACCCTTTTGTAGGAAATATATATGTATATATGCATACACACACACACACACACACACACACACACACACAGGTGTGTGTATGTGTAATAAACATTTCATATGCTTGATTTCTCACTTCATACTGCTAAATTTATTATCAAGTAACTATTTGTGCTTGTCTGTTTTTATTCCTGAAGGCTAGAAAGTATTCTCCATTAACACAGACACAATTGAGAGGCCCTAGAACACAGAAGTCATTAGATAAAGGTCTAAAATCATCTTCACTCTGTGAGACAATTCTGGTTTCTACTTGGTTCTTTAGAGTCCCCAGTAAGAAACTGTCCTTATTTCCCATACTAGCACTCAGATTATGTCTCACAATACTATTTTTTCTCTTTCTCACCTCTAGCTCATGTTTCATTTTTTTCTTGGAATTTCCTCTTTTTATTTAGAAAATATTTTTATTTGTTGAGGATTTCATACATTGTATTTTGATCATATTCATTCCTTTCCCCAATTTCTCTGAGATCACCAATTCCATATCTATCCAACTTGGTGTTCTTCTCCTTTAAAAACACATCAACTCCATTTTGTGCTGTCCATGTAGTCTTGGGTTGACTTAAAGAATTAAACCTATTGTGTTCCACTTCATTTTTTTGTTCAAAATTTAGGAAAATTTTTTAAAATTCTTCCATTACTACTCATATTTACATATTCATACCCCCCATTCCCTCGACCTCCCATCCTCCCATGTTCTCCACCAATCCCCCACAACCCATCCCCCTACTCCTCCTCAGGGATAGTGAGGCCCTCCATGATGAACCTTCAAAGTCTGTTATATCATTTGGGGGAGGGCCTAGGCCCTCCTTGCTGTATCTGGGCTGCAATAGCAAACCTCCATAGGGAATGGGCTCCCAAAGTCCATTTGTGTTAAAGACTGCCTCCGCTATTAGAGGTCCCATAGACTGTCTTGGTCTCCAAGCTGGCACCCACATTCAGAGGCCTTTCTTCGGTCCAATGCTGTTTCTCCAGCTTTATGACTAGGGTCTCCATGTTCTCCCTAGGTCAGGTCTACTTGCACCCAAATCATTTCTATAGGTTCTGCCTTTGTCAAAACAAAAAGGCATGCATAAACATTATATTCATCTTGAATTATCTCTGGTGCCTTGCCCAAACTACTAATCTCACTGTATTTTCCTTTCTGTTATCATATGCACCTTTTGCACAGATTGTTTTTGCTGTTTGAAGAATGTTATTTAGGACTTCAGCTATGTCCCCTTCTCCAATACATTTACATACATACATACTGTGTACATATGTATGTATGTATATGTACCCAGTGCCAGACCTAGGATCCTTGTCATGTGTCTTCGATCTTCATTGTCCAGTTCGTTTAATCTGTTGACCATTTTATTGCACTTGTAGCCAAAGCAAAGTTTCCTGTATTTTCCATTCTTTGAAATGGATATTCTTCCCTCCCCATATTTTTTGAGAGAAGATGACTGGATCTTCTCTAAATTTAGAAATCCCTCTAAATTCTTTATAAATTAGCTAAATATTTTGTGATTTAATTTACTGAAAAAACTCAAACATTTTGTATACATTTATTTTGAAAGATAGCTAGAAAAAGTTTCTTTTCCTGGTTATTTGGGGGAATTTCTTTTGCTTCTCAGATCTGGGAAGAAGAGAAAGGATTTAGATGGTTTCTTCTTCCCAGGTTACTGAGTTAGAATCTTGCTTTTGAAAACCATCCTATTTCATTCTGTTTTTCTACAGGCATACAAGTGTATTTTTCTGCTCACATTCCACACTAGTGACTTTTATGATTCCCAGGCACTCACCTAGGTCATGGATCACTCATGGAAGCATTAGTTATAAGAGGGAGCCAGCAGGGTAATTTAGTAGTTGTTTCAACCCTTCCATTTTGACTCATAGTAATGATAGACTATCTTAAGAAAAACCAGTTTATCTGGCCAGATCATGAGAACAGTTAAAAAAGACAAGCTCATATCCTTCCTCCATACTATGCTGATGAGCCCTTTGTGGACAAAGAGTACATCTAAAATTTCATTATTGCTTTGGGGCATACTTAGTCTCTTAATCATGGTAATTCCAGTAATGATAATAGAGTCGAGGAGCTGTTAATCAAGTAGGTACCTTTCTGGAAGTCCATTTTTTTCCTCTATAAGATTCAAGCATTTCAGTAATTATGTGATTTACATATTTCAAAAATAAAGGAAGAAATTTTACCTTTCAGAAGTTCAACATAAAAATTCAAGGACTAATTAAATATTTCTCTTAAATTTCCATGACTTTATTATGTACCATTTAGTTAAAGTTGCCCCTTTGCCTATCACTACTGTTTTAAAGATGACTTCAAATGAACCTACGTAATTTTAGCAAAGATTAAAAAAAAAAAAAAAAAAAAAAACTAAAATTACCCTCATCACTTTCAAGGAAATGCTATGTTAGTAACACACTGATCTTTCTGCCAAAGTAAATATTGGCAACTTACTCATACACAGAGATTCCCTGTATAGCTTTTCAGATCGAACAAACTATGATCTCATGAGCTTGATGCAGGGAAATGCCAGTGAGAATGCAAATCACTAGTGACAACTTCTTACAACATGATGAGGATTTTTCAGACAAGAGAACCCTTCTGGTTATATTCAGTATCTACTCAATGGTTGATAGGAATCTAATCAATGGTATCTTGCTGAATGCACTACTTAAATTTTATTTTACAATTGTATGCCATGTTATGCATCATCATTGTAATGTATTGTTTCATGTTAGATTATGTTTGTATAACATTTCTGAAGTGCTGTAGGCTGAGTAACAGTGATTCACTGAAGTACAGGGGACTTGTTTTCATGCCATGAATTTCTATTTTTCTCATTGTTGCAAAATTGCACATATTTTGTTGATTTCTCTACCCCTGATTGAACCAAATGAGGTTTTCAAAGCATGTATTCCTACTTTACATTCTATATCTGCCTTCCATTTTATTGAAACAATGTTTTGTCATGCAGCTAAGGTTTGCCTCATACAATCCCCATCTATCAGCATTTCAGTGGTGAAGATTACAGGTGTTCATCACCACACCAAACCCTTCCATCTCTCACAGGATGTTTGTTTGTATTTCAATTACTCCAAAAATCTCATGTGATTTTGAAAATAAAACATCACTAAACATTCTTAATCCTTTATGACCCAATAGGTCCTGAATTTTATATTTCAATGATATTATTGACAATAGAGCAGTCAGAAACTGGCATATTGTAGGTTTCTTACACTTTACCAATAGGTTTATATATGGTAGAATCAATATGTCTTCTGCAAGGAGGAATTCTTGGTGAAATATTTATTTGGAATATTTTATGTGATTAATTTTATTTGATGATTTCATATAATATATTCTGATTAATCTTCTTTTATTTCTTTCCTGTTCTTATCAACTCAACTCCTCACTCTCTACTATCCCTCTCCAATACTAATGACTTTTTTGGGGGTGGTGGTGGCTAGTAAGTTTAATCAAAGACATCTGTGTGACCAGTGGATTGGAGCTATCCTTCGAAGTCAGGCAGGATTATCAATGGGCACACAACTGAAGGCCATGTGTTCCTCTCTTCCTGAATCTATCAACATCCAAAAGTTCAGTAGTGAGCGGTAGGGCCCCCTGATTTTCTTCTCCATTCATGCCTAAGTATTGACACACTAATGTTTGTGCACACCTAGTACAGACATCTATAGTTGCTGTAAATCCATAATCTCGGTGGCTGTGACTTCACCAGGAGATAGCATTTCATGGTCCTTCCCCTGTCTTCCAGTCTACATTCTCTCAATTGTAACCACTTCAAATGCTATGGAAAGGTAAAATGTAACACTATTTAATATACTGATCTTCTAGTACTTGGCAAACAATAACTTCTTAATTTACTGTAACACCATGAAAGTTGAAAATTTCCTGAGGTTCTATTGACGCACATAGAGAAACTAAGCTTTCTATTATTTTTACTACAGTGAAATCAGTCCAGAGCAAGTTTAATTTTAAATTCTAATAGTAAAGTGTATTTTTCTGAAGCTTCACAGTATATTTTTTACATAATAGCTAGTTTCTATACAAGGGTTATATACCAGCTATATTCTTTAAGAAACTATGTAAGCGATACAAGTCATTTGCCTAAGCGCTCTCTCTCCTCTCTCTCTCTCTCTCTCTCTCTCTCTCTCTCTCTCTCTCTCTGTCTCTCTCTCTGTGTGCCTGTCTGTCTGTCTCTGTCTGTCTGTCTCTATCTCTCTATCTCTCTCTGTCTCTATGTGTGTGTCTGTCTCTGTCTGTCTCTATCTTTCTCTGTCTCTCTGTCTCTGTCTCTGTCTCTCTCCCCCCACCCCACACAAACCAATTCTTTTGTTAATACTACTACCATGGATTTACTGTGTCATAAGGAAGAAGAGTGTTCAGATCTAAGCAAACTTTATTACCAGATATATTACTAGAATCCTTGTTTCTGCATACTCTTATATCTAAGCAAATAAGAAATCAAATCATAATGTGGTAATA